CATTGTAATTTAAACCATAAGAACGTGCCACTAAGCCCGTTTCAACTTCTACTTTTGTTACCTCACTGCCATTCAAACAGTAAATCCATTTGCCATCTTTACTCCAGGCTACATCACCACCAGCATAGAAATTAGCATAACGCGTTTCCACCGCATAACTACAACAAACCACAACAAAGGATTAACAAGTGTTTGTTTATTGATAAATATATTTCTTACCTTTTTTCACTAATATTTAGCGACATTTTTCTTTTATTTTTTAATAAAACTGTTTAAAAAATCGTATTTTTAATCCGCGTGTAAAAAAACTACAAAATTCTTTCAGAAAAAATGTAAATAAAAGAAAATAAACATGTGCAGATATAAAGTTGCCAGATGTCATAAAGCTTTTTAATGAAAACATATGGTAGAGTTGCTAAGTCAAGAGTTCTTTGTGGGGTAAATGGGAATTGTTGGAAATTAAATATATAAAATTTAATAATAAATTATAGTTTATAACATTAATTTAAATATATCTACAAATAATAAATTATAAAAAGGAAGTAATGTGTAAAAATAATAGTGAATTAGTAAAAATTTTAGTTATCTTTTTATTTTAATTACAGCGATTTTTTTTAATGTTTAAATACAACGGTCTGGTAATATTTGTACAATGAAAAGTCAAAAAAAAAAATGACAGCATAACCTCAAAATAAACCAAACAAAAAGCCGTCAAATCATCATCCAAACAACTTGCAAAAAATACTCTAGTTTTTTTGCAAAAACCAAACTAAATTAATATTCTTAAAAAAAAAATCTGATAGTACTAAAATAAAAATGAGTTCAATTGGCACAGGAGTAAGTTCCAAAAAATAAACCTTATAAAATCAGGAATATATAGTAAAATTGCATTTTCTTTTGTTTACAGTACGATTTATCTGCCTCACAATTCTCACCGGACGGACGGGTATTCCAAATTGATTATGCTGGTAAGGCGGTGGAGAAAAGTGGCACTGTTATAGGTTTACGCGGCAAAGACAGTGTTATTTTAGCAGTTGAAAAAATTGTCACCAGCACCTTATACGAAGAAGATGCTGGAGCACGCATTTTTACGGTGGATAAAAATATCGGTTTAGCTATAGCTGGTCTCTTAGCTGATGGTCGTTATATTGTGGATATAGCACGTCAAGAGGCTGCCAACTATCGCCAACAGTTTGAACGCACTATACCCTTGAAACAATTGACCGAACGTATTGCTGCCTATGTTCACGCTTATACTTTATACAGTGCTGTCAGACCTTTTGGTGTGTCAGTTTTACTCTCTGCCTGGGATGAAGATCAAGGTGCACAATTGTATAAAATTGAACCTTCTGGCTCGTCGTTTGGTTATTTCGCCTGTGCCAGCGGTAAAGCTAAACAACAGGCTAAAACTGAAATGGAGAAATTCAATTTCCCTGAAATGTCCACAGAGGATTTAGTACAAAATGCTGGTAAAATGTAAGTTATTCTAAGAAACAAGTAAGAAAGTATTGTCGGACCGGCTAAGATCTTATAATAGGAGGTTTTTCAAGGAATTTGTTGAATTTGTCACAGTGTTGATCTCTACACAATTTAATCGGATAAATTTGTTTTTAAATTTGACTGAAATTTTATGCAGTTGTATACGAACTGTTGCGAAGGAAACCTTTTGACTAGCCAAGGGTCATTTATAGACTAACCCTCATTTAATTTATATTATTTTTTATATTTCAGCATCTACCAAGTTCACGATGAGTTAAAGGACAAAGATTTCCGCTATGAAATGAGTTTGGTGGGTAAAGAAACCAATGGCTTGCATCGTATTAATCCAGTGCCCTGGCATAAAATGGCCATTGAAGCTGGAGAAGCATTCAAAAATGAAGATGATAGTGATAATGAAATTTAATTTCTCTCTAAACATTTTTTTCTAATATTTTATATAATTTTTGCGTAAAATTAAAAAAAAAACACATTAATTTGTATTAAATTATATGGTCTTTGTTTTGAGAACGCAGATTTGAAACAAATTTGTATAAGCTGTAATCGCGGTAAGGTAATAAACTATTAATTGAAAAAAGTTTAGTTTTATTTAGATCCTAACTAGAACCGGGTCGCGTTGCTGGTATAAAGTATGTTGTCGTTTTACCTATCAGTTTACATTCATTTGTGACAGTAGCTAAAATTGTTTTTTTCTTTCAACTTTCTTCGATTTATGATAGATTGCTGTGTATAGATAGGTTGATAGATAAATAGTTACTTACTTATTTTCTTACTTACTTACTTACTTACTTACTTACTTACTTCTACTTACTTACTTACTTACTTACTTACTTACTTACTTACTTACTTACTTACTTCTTACTTACTTACTCACTTACTTACTTACTTACTTACTTACTACTTACTTACTTACTTACTTACTTACTTACTTACTCACTTACTTCTTACATACTTACTCTTACTTACTTACTACTTACTTACTTACTTACTTACTTACTTACTTACTTACTTACTTACTTTACTTACTTACTTACTTACTTACTTACTTACTTACTTACTTACTTACTTACTTACTTACTTACTTACTTACTTACTTACTTACTTACTTACTTACTTACTTACTTACTTACTTACTTACTTACTTACTTACTTACTTACTTACTTACTTACTTACTTACTTACTTACTTACTTACTTACTTACTTACTTACTTACTTACTTACTTACTTACTTACTTACTTACTTACTTACTTACTTACTTCTACTTACTTACTTACTTCTTACTTACTTACTTATACTTACTTACTTACTTACTTACTTACTTACTTACTTACTTACTTACTTCTTACTTACTTACTTACTTACTTACTTACTTACTTACTTACTTACTTACTTACTTACTTACTTACTACTTACTTACTTACTTACTTACTTACTTACTTACTTACTTACTTACTTACTTACTTACTTACTTACTTACTTACTTACTTACTTACTTACTTACTTTACTTACTTACTTACTTACTTACTTACTTACTTCTTACTTACTTACTTACTTACTTACTTACTCTTACTTACTTACCTTACTTACTTACTTACTTACTTACTTACTTACTTACTTACTTCTTACTTACTTACTTACTTACTTACTTACTTACTTACTTACTTACTTTACTTACTTACTTACTTACTTACTTACTTACTTACTTACTTACTTACTTACTTACTTACTTACTTACTTACCTTACTTACTTACTTACTTACTTACTTACTACTTACTTACTTACTTACTTACTTACTTACTTACTTACTTACTTACTTACTTACTTACTTACTTACTTACTTACTTACTTACTTACTTACTTACTTACTTACTTACTTCTTACTTACTTACTTACTTACTTACTTACTTACTTACTTACTACTTACTACTTACTTACTTACTTACTTACTTCTTACTTACTTACTTACTTACTTACTACTTACTTACTTACTTACTTACTTCTTACTTACTTACTTACTTACTTACTTACTTACTTACTTACTTACTTACTTCTTACTTACTTACTTACTTACTTACACTTACTTACTTACTTACATATCCCTAAGTGTAGTGTCATCATCTACCTCATTTTGTATATAAAACATTTTCTTTTTACGAGAAAAGCAATATACATTTATTATTCCATAGGTTTATTATTATGGTTGATAAGAAATCTTATCAATGTTATTGTTATTCATTAATAGAAGCTGCATCTATTATCTAGCGACTATTAAAATAAAAATTATTTAAATTAGTCCAAATACAGACTTTAAAACAGAAACATCGCTAGACTTATTAAAATTCAGTAAAACTTAAGAAAAATATGGCTGCCCCCTATGTGTGTGTTACCGATTTCGAGGAAAGGGCTCATCAAATTATAGAAAAAAAGGCTTTGGATTATTATCGTAGCGGAGCGGGAGAACAGTTTAGTTTGAATTTAATAGAGAAGCTTTTAGAAGGTGAGATTATTTACATAAGTTTGTACTTATGTATGTATGTAATAATATTTTAAATTATTAAGATTACGTATACGTCCCCGTTGTTTGCGAGATGTTTCCCAAGTGGATACTACGTGTCGACTATTAGGTTGTGATCTAAGTGGCCGGTGGGTATTGCTCCAACAGCCATGCAAAAATGGCTCACCCAGATGGTGAGGGTGGTAATGCTAAAGCGGCTGGTGAAATGGGTTCCATATTCATTTTAAGTACTTTAGCTACCATGTCCATAGAAGAAGTGGCTCAAGCTGCTCCATTTACCAATAAATGGTTTCAATTATATGTGTATAAAGATCGGTAGGTATTAATAAAATTACCTCTTGAAAATTATAGTCCCAATAATGTGCCCATTATTTTAAATTATTTTTTATTTTTTCATTCTCTCGCAGTTCCCTGACGGAAAAACTAGTGCGACGTGTAGAGAAATGTAATTACAAAGCCATAGTACTCACTATAGATGCCCCTATCTTTGGCCAAGATGGTCTGATGTACGCAACAACTTTAGTTTACCATCTCATCTACGTTTGGCCAATTTCGAGGCACAATCTTCACAATCGGATGGTGTACACAGTGAAGTGGGTACATCGGGCATTAATGAATATGTAGCCAGTCAATTTGATGCTACCCTCACCTGGAAAGATGTTAAATGGTTGGTGAACCTTACATATCTTCCAGTAATTGTTAAAGGCATTTTAACGGCTGAAGATGCAATTTTAGCGCGAGAATTTGGCTGTGCCGGTGTTATTGTTTCTAATCATGGTGCCCGTCAATTGGATAGTGTACCAGCAGCTATAGAAGCTTTACCGGAAGTGGTTAAAGCTGTGGGTGATGATATGGTTGTAATGTTAGATGGTGGTGTACGTCATGGAAATGATGTTTTTAAAGCTTTGGCTATGGGTGCAAAAATGGTATTTCTGGGACGTCCTGCCGTTTGGGGTCTGGGCTGTGGCGGTGAAGCTGGCGTTAAAATATGTTGGAAGTGCTTAAAAAGGATTTTGATATCACAATGGCCTTGGCAGGTTGTCAGAAATTAAGCGATATTAAGGGAAATATGGTGGTGCATGAATCTGTTTATGCTAAATTGTAAATTAGTTTTTTGAAATAAATAATTATAATAAATCGTAGTTTTATTTAAAGAATATTAAGAAATGAGATGATGTTTCTATCTATCTATCTCTCTATCTATCTATCTATCTATCTATCTATCTATCTATCTATCTATCTATCTATCTATCTATCTATCTATCTATCTATCTATCTATCTATCTATCTATCTATCTATCTATCTATCTATCTATCTATCTATCTATCTATCTATCTATCTATCTATCTATCTATCTATCTATCTATCTATCTATCTATCTATATCTATCTATCTATCTATCTATCTATCTATCTATCTATCTATCTATCTATCTATCTATCTATCTATCTATCTATCTATTTATTTATCTATCTATCTATCTATCTATCTATCTATCTATCTATCTATCTATCTATCTATCTATCTATCTATCTATCTATCTATCTATCTATCTATCTATCTATCTATCTATCTATCTATCTATCTATCTATTTATCTATCTATCTATCTATCTATCTATCTATCTATCTATCTATCTATCTATCTATCTATCTATCTATCTATCTATCTATCTATCCATCTATCTATCTATCTATCTATCTATCTATCTATCTATCTATCTATCTATCTATCTATCTATCTATCTATCTATCTATTTATTTATCTATCTATCTATCTATCTATCTATCTATCTATCTATCTATCTATCTATCTATCTATCTATCTATCTATCTATCTATCTATCTATCTATCTATCTATCTATCTATCTATCTATCTATCTATCTATCTATCTATCTATCTATCTATCTATCTATCTATCTATCTATCTATCTATCTATCTATCTATCTATTCTATCTATCTATCTATCTATCTATCTATCTATCTATCTATCTATCTATCTATCTATCTATCTATCTATCTATCTATCTATCTATCTATCTATCTATCTATCTCTCTATCTATCTATCTATCTATCTATCCATCTATCTATCTATCTATCTATCTATCTATCTATCTATATATCTATCTATCAATCTATCTACCTATCTATCCATCTATCTATATATGCATACGCTTTTTTACAGATTCTGTATTTCTAATTCAAAAATAACGTTTTTTATTAAACTATTTTCTAAACACCCTGTTGCTGTTAATAACATTTCACATAAACGCTTAATAACATACAATTAACTGTCAGTCAGCTGTTGTTGATTTTGCAACATATCCCGGCTGTCATAATAAATAATTTGCTTTAAGATTTTTTTCACAAAAATCTTCAATCTTTTCTACAATGTTATTAATTAAAAGATCTTGTAGCAATTTTCAGCGTATTAATTTAATACCTAAAACAAAGAGCCTGGGGATTCAGTAGGTGTACGAGTAAGTATTCCATAAACTACCTAATTTACACCAATTGTGAGGTTATAACGGAATTGTATTTACACATCTTTCTGCTCCGCTTAGGGTTGGATAAAAACATAAGAAAATTAAAAAATAACATCTTTTTGGATATAAATGATGGTTCAACAGCACACAAAATTTCAAATAGTTTTACCCAAAACTGAAGCCATTAATCTATAACGGCCGGCAGTTTAGTTAAGGCCAGCGGTAAAGTGCAGTTGGCTCCTCATGGTCATTATGAATTGCATGCTCAAGAAGTGGATGTGATAGGTGTAAATATATTACTGTTTAGAACCTTGATAAAAAGAAAACTAATTGTTTGTTTGTAAATATGTAGCTGATGGTCATTTAACGGATGGTTTCCCTTTTTCTCCCAAACAACAACATGCTCCTGAATATGTGCGAGATTATTTGCATTTACGTTCGCGCATAGATATTGTAGCTGCCACTATGCGTTTAAGACATAAGGCTCAAAAGGCTTTACATGATTTTATGGATGAACATGATTTTGTGCAGATAAATACACCCGTTTTGACCACAAACGATTGCGAGGGAGCGGGAGAGGTTGTATTATTTTTATATTGACATTTTATTTGAAATTCTAAATTTGTTTTAAACTTTCAGGTCTTTACCGTAAAACCTGATTCCCAGGAACTACTAAAACAAATGTCTCGTCCTGAAGTAAGCTTGGATCATAGTTATTTCGATTCCCAGGTTTATTTAACCGTTTCTGGTCAATTGCATTTAGAATCCATGTCTTATGGCTTAGGCAATACTTACTGTTTGGGTCCTGCTTTTAGAGCGGAAAATTGTAAATCTCCCCTGCATTTATCCGAATTTTATATGTTTGAAGCTGAGCTAGTCTACCTGGAGCACATACAGCAACTCTGTTCATTTATAGAGCGAATGCTCAAGGTAACAACAAAACAATTGCTTGACAATAATGCCCAAGATGTGGAGTTTTGCCAGAAAAAGAATTTGGGTGAAGCAGTGACATTCCATTGGCTAGATCAATCATGGCCTGTACTCAGCTATAAAGAGGCTTTGGCTATAATTATGGAAAATAAAAAGAAATTCAAAACTGCCGTAACACCCAATGAGGGATTCTCAAAAGAACAAGAACTCTACCTGGTGGAACACTGTAAAAGTCCAGTATTTGTGGTGGATTGGCCGGCGAATCAAAAACCCTTCTACATGAAGCAATCACGTGAAGATCCTTCATTGGTACATGCTTTAGATCTGCTCATGCCTACAGTGGGTGAGCTGTGTGGTGCAGTTTGCGTGAAAATGATGAAAAAATTCTAAGGAAACCATCCTCAGTTACCTCAAGGTTTAGACTGGTATTTGGAACTACGTAAATTTGGCGGTCTACCCAACTGGTGGCTTTGGCATGGGTTTCGAACGTTATTTGCAATTATTGACAGGTGTTAAGAATATTCGAGATGTATATCTTTTCCAAGATATCCTCATAGTTGTAAAATGTAAATTGTATTGTACGTTTATATTTTTAAGTAATAAATTGTTTAAAATGGATTTTTTTTATTTTACTTCAAAATGTGAAATTTTTATAATAAAAATGGACGTCAGTTAAAAAATGTCTTTATAACAACTCTGTATTACTTAATGTAAAAGAACTACCAGATGTAAAAGTTTTTGCAACATAACATATATGTGGCAGCTCTTGTGAGTTAAACAATTGCAGGTTTGTTATAAAAACTGACATTTATTAAGAAAAGAAGAAGACACAAAAAAACTTGTAAAACAGAAGAAATATTAAAATTCCATAAAAATTAACAAATTATCACAAATTTCTACAATAATTTTAATTGTATTAAATAGATTTTAATACAAAAAATGGCTAATAGCTATGAACTACCTTCATGGTAAGTAATTGCTTTGAAAAACTAATAAAAAACGGAAATTAATTTTCCTTGCTGCACAAAAAGGGCCGGCAAGCCACCAACTGGTTTGCATTTGGATGTTTTAAAGGATGATAAACTTGTACAGAAACTAATGGTGGATGAAAAGAAATGTTATTTATTTGGGCGTAATGCACAATGAATGATTTTTGCATAGATCATGCTTCCTGCTCGCGGGTACATGCCGCTTTTGTGTATCACAAGCATTTGAATATAGCATATTTGGTGGACTTGGGTTCTAGTATGTTGTATATAAATTATTTTTTTATATAGAGCGTAAAGTGATTTTCTTATTTCATTTAAGCTCATGGCACTTATATAGGCACCATGCGTTTAGAGGCCCACAAACCTACCCAGTTGCATGTTAATAGCACTTTTCATTTTGGTGCCTCTACTAGGCGCTATATTTTACGTGAAAGACCCTCGGCCGGTCAACGTAATAGTATAATGGAGGATATACCCATGAATGAAACTAGTGATGGAGCATTATTGGGTTTGCCCGAAACACAAACTGAATTGGATGTAAGTTTGAGAAATTTTAGATTTTTTTATGAATTTTCTTAATTTTTATATCCATTGCAGAATCTCACGGAATTATAATACTGCACATAATAGAAGAATTTCCATGCTAGGTATAGCCGATGATATACGAAAGGTAAATTGGAATTAAATTCCCACAAAAATAAAGAATAGAGTTTAATATTTTTAAATCCTTAAAGAAATCGTCACGCAAACGCCGCAATGTTACCTTTAATGATGAGGAAATTATCATAAATCCCGAAGATGTTGATCCCCAATGTTGGACGTTTCCGCAACTTAGTACAAACCACTGTGGTGCCGGCTAAACGAGCTCGTTACGATGGCTCTAATATGGGTATATCAGCTACTACCACAACAGCCTCTACAGCGAGCCATAATAATCTTACACACACAAGCAGCCATCAATTATTCCAACAAATTATCAGGAGCACATGAAAAGTCTTGGTAATAATCCCAATTCACCTACAAATGCTACGCCTTCCTCGCCCACATCTTGTATCAGGGTTTACCGGCTGCAAGCGCACATGATAGTCATGCCTCTAGATCTACATCGGCAGAATTTGATGTTTCTGGTCCTTTGGCTATTGGTGCCAAATTGGGGTTGCTGTTACCAAATCCAGCGCCGGATGTAACACCTATAGCAGAGACGGTCAGTGCGACGCCTATGAATTCTGGTGTGGCACACAAATTAGCATTGGCTAATGCAAATGGTAAGTTTATGAGCGAGACATTGACGATTAGCTCTATAACCTATACTATACTTTTATATCTTTCCAGTACGCTATGAGGATCCTCATCATCATCATCATATCGCCGCCGATGTATCTAATAGTTCTGGTCCTCAAAAGAAGAAATATGCCAAAGAAGCTTGGCCTGGACGTAAACCAATGCTGGGTTCTTTATAACACAAATTTGTTTAAATATGATTTCATTACAATTAATTATATAAATTAATTTCTTTCTTTCTTTTTCGTTCTTTTTTACTTTACATATAAAATTATTTATAATTACCTTTGTGTATCAAGAATATATTGATAAAATTGTGTTAAATTGAGAAAATATAGACATAAAAAGCTTTTAATTAAAACCAGATATTGAAATCATAGCATGATTGAAATCAAAGTATAACATTGAAATTGTAAAAAACTATTAACAATTTATTAATAAAAATTAAATAAATAACAAAACCAACACCCTAAAACCAAGTACCAAATTACTCAGAAATCTATAAAAATTTTTGGGCTTAAAAACATTGTGATCAAATGTTTAAGTTTCAAACACTATAGGAGGACTTTAGTTTATTAAAATACTCCAAGTCCTGTCTACTAATAGAGGGTACAAATTTACCAAATGATCTGGTAAAATCTTCGACCTCCACCACCACATTATCGGACACCAAGTCTTCATCTTTTAAATCGCCTGAATAACAAAAACGAAGTGTTTATTTTATTTATAACATAAGACATAACATTCCGCTTACCCTTCATATGGCGGTCTATGGTCCTTCGCACCGCCGACAACCAAGCATTCGAGCATATTGAATACAAATCCGCACCCGACATTTCTCCCTTAAGTTTTTCCGCTATCTCTTGCATATTACAGTTATTGGCCAACTTGAAACGTCTTGTTTGAGCCTGCAAAACCGAAGCCTTGTCATCAGCCGTTGAACAAGGACCCACATAGAATAATTTATCAAAACGTCCGGGTCTTAAAAGTGCAGGATCTATTAAATCCGGACGATTAGTGGCAGCTAATATAAATATAGGTTTACTGGCATCACCACCCATGCCATCCATTTCAGCTAAAAGCTGAGACACAACACGATCCATAACACCACCCGAATCACCCGCAACACCACGATTTGGAGCCAAAGAATCCAATTCATCCAAAAATAAAACACAAGGTGCTGCCGAACGAGCACGAGCGAAAACTTCTCTGACATTCTGCTCACTTTGGCCCACATACATGTTAAGTAGTTCAGGGCCCTGTACCGATAGGAAACTTAAATTACATTCCGTAGCCACAGCCTTGGCCACTAAAGTCTTGCCTGTGCCGGGTGGACCATAAAGCAAAATACCCGAACGCCTTAGGTTTTTACCCATCAAATGAACATGTTTAAGAGGCAAACCTATGCTAGATTGTATTTCATCTTTCAATTTAGCCAAACCTCCTATATCCGACCACAATACCTTGGGCACTTTGGGTGCACCCAAACTATCAGCAAAGGAAGCCTGCATTATATTCAAATAATAAGCAAAATGCTCGAAACTAAGTTTCTTTGCCTCCTCCTCTCTCTGTTGGCGCACAGCATTATTATGCAACAGCTGTAAGTCACCCAAAAGAAATCCTTGCGATTTATCCGCCACTTCACGTAAAACTTTCTTAGTTCCCTGCCAATCTGTTTGCAATTTATTTAAATATCTTTCCTGCATATCCAGCTCATAGAGCGGCAAATGCTCCAAGTCTCTCAAATTAAAGACTTTATTCTTAAACAATTCCTTTTTGTGCAACCATTTTAAAATTTCATATCTTTCTTCCTTTGTGGGCATTTCAATGCGTATAACTTCCAAAAACATACGCTGTATCATGGGTTTAATATGTTTATCACTGGTCAGGGCGACAATGACCACTGGATGTTTACGATTATGGGTGAAAAGTTCCTGGGTTTGCACTTGAAAAGCAGCTAAGAGACGTAAATCTTCGTGCCCTCATTGTCGATGCCGAAATCTGTGGAAAGATTTCAGCAAAGTTTTTTTTTATGAATTTCATAAAATTTTAAAGAATTTTCATAAATTTCGAAAAATTCCATATTAATTTTAAATTTTCGAAATATTTTAAATTGAATATTTCAGAGACTCACCTCAAAATTATGAAAACATATCAGCAGCGGTTCACTTATTTGGCTCTTGGCAAAAACTGCCTTCAATTTCATTTCCGTATGCGAAGGAACTTGCGAGACAATCTCGGCACAATCCACTCCAAACAAATGCATGCCCAAGTCACGGGCCACTGCATTTACCAGTTTCGTTTTACCAGCACCCCTTTCAGCCTGTAAAATGAACATGGGATAGATATGTTTCGAAGATAAACAAGTGGATTTGCGTGGCAAAAAAGCATCTATGGAGGAGCGTAGAGAATCATAGGACGCTTGCAAACCCAAAGGATAACCTTCCGCAATGCACAAATCATCTAAAGATTGACGTGGTAAGAATTGATGAGTATGAGCTATTTGGACAAGATTTGTAAAACCTTTAGCTACCACCGCCTGCATTTCAAATTCACTGCCCTTCACCTCTAAGTGGACACAACGAAAGTGGACAAATTTCATGTAGGCAAATATTAGATAGTAATGAGCATATTGTGAGGTGCCTATTAGATCAGCATTGACTTCTATGCGATACGTATGGCCACGATGTAAAATACGTGGAGTATTAAAGTAATTACTCAATATTAGTTCCGAAACTTCGGCCGGTAATTCATAAGGATTGGCAAGAAGATAGACATGTGCCTTAATGGCTATATTAGGTATAGTTTGCTGCTCATTGAGATGATCTAATTTAGCCCAAAGTTTAGTTCTATTAATATGGGCATTGTTGACATTAAAACGATCCATTAAATTCGAAAAGAAGTTTTCCTGTAAAAGAAACAAAAAAACATGATTTTAGTATCAAAAATATTCTTAATACTATAGATAGCATTACCTGTATAAATACACAATTAGTTTGACACACTTTCAAGGGTCTTATTTGCGCCACCAAGGTATGTGGCGCCTGATTAAGCATTTGTTTTAATAAAGTTTCACTTTCTTTCTTCTCCTCTCCATTGCTTAAATGTTGTTGCTGTTGTTGTCCCGTTTGTCTACCACAACTTACTATCAAATTTACAAAATTAACTTCCTCCGATTCGGCATATTCTTCATAAATATCCTCCGAGGTAAATATAATATGTTCCGATTTAATTAATTCGTTTTTAATCAAATGTTCGTACAAAGTATTTGGTATGGCTACTAAACGATATTTATCCTTGTAATATTTCATATAACGTTGATAAATGGCATATTGCAAGTAACCCGGATAAATATACCAAGCGTATTTAGGATATAGTATAGAAACGGCTCCATTATAGGCTTCTATGAGTTCACGCATACGGCCGCTATAGCTGTAGAGGGTGGTTGTTGGAAGTCCATTGTCGATGGAACGTTTTGCAGATGATTTTTTCTAGATTTTTTTTAATTAAGAAATGTTATTAGAATTTAAAAGGAGTAGATTTTGGGTACTTGCTAAAAATGAACATGCTAAATTTAATTTATATTTAGTAGAATGCATCATTATTTTCGTATAAAGAACAGGTAACCGCTATAACGTTCTGATTTATATCCGGCATGTGAACTTGGAGCAGTGATGCCAAGTGTAGGGATTTTTTCCCTTTTTGTAGGGATTTTTTTCAAAAATTTCACGTGTAGGGAAAAAGGGAAAGATTTCTTACTATTGTCAAATTGTAGGGATTTTTCAATTTCATAGTTTTTAACAACTAAAAATATACCCTTTCATGTATTAAACTTTAAAATTAAAATGAAATCAGTTTTAAGTGTATCGTTAGTAAAAATTCCGCTTGTAATTTCTACAATATATGTACCTACATATCGCTACAAGACTGGCATAATCCAAAATTCGGGTTTCTTGAACTGAGGTCTACAAAACATGCGACATACTAAAATCTTTCATTTAGATTTAATGTTCTGAAAATTTATAAAAGTAAACCGCAAAAAGTAAACGCAAAAGTAAACGCGAAAGTAAACCTTAAAAACATAAAATAAATTTTTAATATCGAATCGTGATACTGCCATAAATCTTTCAATTGTCTTGTTTTTTTAATCTTAACTGAAGAGTCAGGCTTGGAAGATTTGTATTATGTAAAATTAAAAGAAAAAAATTTAAATTCTAGAAAATTTCATTCCTAAAAATTAAAAAAATACATATATATAATATGTATTATAAAACGGAGCTAATATTTAGTTTAGGTTATGTATTTTTAGGATAAACTTGGAAAAAAAAAGTAGGGAGGGAAAAAGGGTAGGGAAAAGAAAAAGGGGGGGGAGGGAAAAAAGGGACGCAGAAGCGGAGGAGGGCTGAAAAAAAGCGCCGGGCACACGGACGGAGGGGGTCCCACGACAAAATCGAGCTATCGAGCGAGACGACGAGCTAGCGAGCGAGCGACAGCGAGCGAGCGAGGAGCGAGGAGAGCGAGCGAGCGAGCGAGCGAGCGAGCGAGCGAGCGAGCGACGAGCGAGCGAGCGAGCGAGCGAGCGAGCGAGCGAGAGGCAGCGAGCGAGCGAGCGAGCGAGCGAGCGAGCGAGCGAGCGAGCGAGAGCGAGCGAGCGAGGAGCGAGGAGCGAGCGGAGCGAGCGAGCGAGCGAGCGAGCGAGAGCGAGAGAGCGGAGCGAGCGAGCGAGCGAGCGAGCGAGCGAGCGAGCGAGCGAGCGAGCGAGCGAGGAGCGGCGAGCGAGCGAGCGAGCGAGCGAGCAGCGAGCGAGCGAGCGAGCGAGCGAGCGAGCGAGCGACGAGCGAGCAGCCAGCGAGCCAGCGAGCCAGAGAGCGAGCGAGCTAGCGAGCGAGCGAGCGAGCGAGCGAGCGAGCGAGCGAGCTATCGAGCGAGCGAGCTACTATCGAGCTAGCGAGCGAGCGAGCGAGCGAGCGAGCTATCGAGCGAGCGATCGAGCGAGCGAGCGAGCGAGCGATCTATCTATCTATCTATCGAGCTATCTATCTATCTATCGATCGATCTAGCTATCTATCTATCGATCTATCTATCATCTATCTATCTATCTATCGATCTATCTATCTATCTATCTATCTATCTATCTATCTATCTATCTATATCTATCTATCTAATACGGTTACCAGCCTCAATACTTCAGCCCATGGAAACTAATGAATTGTGCAAGAATGGTTTTTCAATAGACTTTTACAAAAACTCTATTTGAAATTGTTAGGAAATATTTAACATTTGGTGACAAAAACAACAAAAACTTATTATTATATAGCTTTAACGCGTGAAGGATTTGTAACCAAATTATTCTTACCCATATCAGCAAGTTGGCATCTTTGGCTTTATGATAGAATTAGTTAATGAATATGTATAAGGGTTACGAAAAAGAGGTAAGAAACTAAGATATGTCCTTACATTCTATTTTATGTAATTATTTTTTAGGATTTAAAATCAAATTTTTATAATTTAAAAATTTAATAAAAATTTATAGTCATTATTTACATTAAAAAAATCTCTTATCATTAATAGCATTTAAGATTAAAAAGATATCCAGATAACGGTAATTTTTGTCAAATTTTTTGAATGTCTTTAAGTATATGAGTACATGAGAAATGCTGAATAAAACTAAACGAAAATATAATTTTTTTATATTAAAAGAAAAAACCAAAACAATATTTCAAAAATAACCAAGAATTTCTTTCAGTGTAAATAGTTATTTATACACCAATAGAAATATTTTAGTAATTTCCTTTTTCGTTCAACTTACCACTTCCTCTATTTCCACCATTATATTATTTTACACACAATAAACAGAAAACAACAAGATACACTTTATAAGGAAATGTAAATACTATGTAGTAAAATTAAAATAAATACGATTTTTTTTACACAATATACGTAATCTGCCGAAAGAAAAAAGGGAAAATTTTTTGTAAGAGGTTAAAGTTTTAGTGCAATAAAAATTACATGAAATTATTATAATGAAACTATTTGCAGTTTATGGTTTTAATAAGAATTAAATGATCTTTGATATTTTTTATTAGGATTTATAATTTTAGTTTTTCTGTAGGAACACCACACCATATAGTTTTGTTAAATTTATTTTTTCGTAGTAGAAAGTTTTCCTTTTTACCTTTTTCACTATCACTCTTTTCTTCATGTTTCACTAAATGTAATTTATTATATTTCTTTACAATTTGTATAGAATTAATTTCAAATTTGTTCTAAAATTCTTTTATTTTTATTTAACACTTGTATCTAGCTAGGACTGCACAATAATAAAAAATGTCAAAAACAACTGTTGATGGTTTGACATTTGGGTTGCCATATTTTAAGGAAAAAATTATTTATGTCAAACTGTAGATTTACAACATGATTACAATTACAGCCGCAAACCACGTTAGGTAAAAAGTTTACAACATGTACCAGACTGGAGAGATTCAAGATCAATTGGTTAAAAATATTTATAATTTCTCTGCACTTCTTCATTTTCGCTTAAACATTAATAATTTTACTTCTCATGTTCTTAAAAAACGCAATTATCCCTATTATTCTTATTACAAAAATCGCTAACATAGTTGAAAAATCGCTACTTAAGCATATTGAACATGACAGCTGTTGTTAATTTCGTTTTGCTGAAGTGTAATTGGCGCCAATTTTTTGCTCACTGCAATTGTAATGTAAACAAACTTAAACGAATTTTGCTAAATAAACATTTTTAAACAAATTAAAGAACAAAAACAGAAAAAATATTTACATAGGTAAACAAAAAATCTAACCTTGGCCTTAACATTTAACAACAAACATGACCACTTTAATAGAACAGTTAATAACAAAAATGGGCTTAAGAGATGAGCCCAATGTGCTGGAGTAAGTCTAATAAATAAACAAATAAATAACAATATTTAACCATAAAAATTCTAGGAAAACCACCGAATTAGTAAGATTATTGGAATTACGTTCTACCAATGTTCCCTTACAAATAAATGAATATGGTAAAATAGTGTTATGTGCAGATATAGCAGCCACTTTAATGGGCATACCTTTCGATAAGGTAAAATGAAAGAAAAAGTTAAGAAAACAACAATAAAATTTATAATTTGTTTTATTTAGGAACAAGCCTTAAAAATGTCCGGTTTGCGCAAATCCCATTATGCCAACAATAAAAGAATGTTTGAAAAACTTCTTGATCTTAACAAGCTGGTGGGTGTCAATGACATCTGCCTACAATTGAGCCTTAACCAGGTTAACAAAAAAGCCGAAGAGCTATTAGAACTCTATCGCAAAGTTATAACCAGTGAACAATCCTCAGATGTGGATATTAGTCATCCCCAGTATGCTGCTATGGCGGTGTTTTCAGCTTGTAAATTGTGTAAGCAAAAAGTTTCCAAAACAAAACTTATGCCTTTCAGCAATTTAAAGCCCTCACAATGGCAACAGCTGGAGCAAAGATGGGAGAAATTTATGGCTAAACATTACAACGATGCCATGGACAATAAATTAAAAAAGCAAAATTCTGAAGATCAAGCCACAGTCACGGCCACTGATGATGATAGTTCGAAGAAGACGAACAGCGATAAGAGACTACGTAACGAAATTGAGGATTATGAAAAATGGAAAAAACGTATGTTGGCCATGGCTCATGCTAAATTAAAGGATCAAGAGACTGGTGATTCAGAGTCCTCGGAACAAATTGAAGAAGATAAAGGTTTGGATTTTACCGATGTTATAGATAATATGATATTGGGTTGCTGAGAAAAGGAAATTATTGAAACATTTTCTGTTTCTTAACTCACATTCAAATACATATATTTTTTTTAATTTTAATAAATATTTAACTTATTTTTCTGAAATATACAAAAATTATGAATTTCTTTTCTCGAAAAAGTGAATTGCAACTTTTGTAACATTCCTCAATGTTTTCTTTGATGAAATTTCTGTAGAAAAATGTTTTCCTTATAGCATTTTTAAAAAATTTCTGTAGATAATTATATAGAAAGAATGTCTTTCTTAGACTCATTTCTATACAGGGTATATCTCCTAGACGCAGTTTTATTAGAATACATTTTATTAAAAGAATGTTTTAAAATGTGTACATATTTTACAAAACTATACATTAATTTGTATATTGAGAGCATTTAAATTAAATAAATTTTAAATATTTTTCAAAAGGATTTTGGCACTTAGCGTCATATTATACAAAAAGGATAACGATACTTTAAACACTTAACAATTATTAAATAATTTAATAAAAAAAAAAAACTAAAGATAACTGGAAACAAAATTTTGTTAAATAAGTCAATTAAATTAAAATTTCCTTTTTGTTGTTGGTATTCCAACATAGAGAGCTTTACAAGCACATTTTAGAATTCTCCCTCATGCCACATATTGGTAATATGACTCAATAAAACATCACCCACATCTTGCGGACGTCCATCAGCTTTAAAACCTTAATATACCAATAGTATAGGTAGTAAAGATAGTATTTGTTTTAAAAATCAACTTTTTATTAAAACTTACTGTTATAGAGTACCACCTCTGCTTTTCCCTGTGTTTCGGGCCATTTATTTAAAAGATATTTTAAATGTTTATAGAATTTTAAGAGTATTTCTCGTTTCATTTCTTTCATTTGCCAGGTGGTGGACGGTTGAAAACTTAAAGCTTCGAAAAATGATAACATGGGTGTGGCACCTTCCATGGCGACATAATAGTATGTACCATCTATAGTTCTATTAAAACGATAAACATCATTTTTATAGGGTCTCGATACGCCGGCACGATTTCTGACCACAGTTTCTAAGGGCTGAAAAAAAGAAATTTTAAAGAAATCTATATATGTATCTATCTATCCGACATATATTTCTATATAAAAATACCTTCAAAGATCACAAATTTATATAGAGAAGTAACATAACTCACCATTACACCATCCTTTTGCAAAATATTACTTTCAATTTTGGAATTAATAAACATTGTATTGGGCACTAATATAAACAAACGTTTAACTGCAAATTTAACTTTATGCTTATTCTCATATAACTGCATACGTTCCTTAATACCAGTGTCACCATCATGGGTGGGCAGTATTAGTTTTAAATAGCCATGGAAATAATTTGAAGCCATACCCTCGGCATAATCTAAACCATGCGGCTCTCTTATCCAATCGGCATAGCTTAAATGCGAATGACCCATAGCCAGGGCCATAAATATCCAATACAGAGGCATAAATGTAAAAAAGTATGCGGGAGGTCGGCTGCCGCGACTAAGAACACAGACAAAGGCAACAAATAAAAAAACTATAAAACCTATAGAGCTGCCCAAATTCATGCTAAACGATCGTTTCGTTATGGCCAGTAATTTATTATCGACATCATAGTGGTTGGCATATTTCATATACTCAAAGATAATGCGGTAAAACGTCTAATCAGTTCGGCTATTACAACCACTGTCATTATTTGAAAGCATTGCTCTGTAATATAAAACATCATCATCATCGTTGGAGTGGAGAATGACTAATATATTGCCTGAAAAGTCTAAATACTTACCTAAATAATCCATTATTGCATGCATTTTTCTTTTCCCAGCAGTTTTTAACTTATTCTTTTTAATATTCACAATCTCACTATCGTAGGTTGGAATTATATGCATGCTCTTGCAATTCTAGTATGCAGTTTTAGAAGATTATAACTTGTTTCACTTTGCAATGACAATTCCTTTTTGCATTTTTTTGCGTCTTGCACACCAGGAAAAATTTGCATAGGGTGTTTTAACTCCAGCTGTTTTTTGTTTATTTTATTTTAAAATGTCAAACTTCTTTTTAAAAAAAATAATTATTTCATCTCTGTACTGTCAAATTTTAGTTTTATGCTGCCATCTTTTATAGATTCCACTTGAATACATTTTTTTAGCGTTGCCATATGTTAGTATTTACATATTTGTTTTTATTTCTTTGTTTTCGTTTGCAAATTCTTCATAATGACAGCCAACTGTTTTTACCAACAAAATACAACAAAAAGTGATAATAAAAAAATTTGCGAAAAAAAGTAATAATTTTGCTTAAATAACAATAACTTTACGACAATTACAAGAAAAAAGAAATAAATACCCCCCAATAGCAAATTATTTAGCCTACAACAATGTTTAAGGTGCCCATAATACCGCCTGATTTACGTCACGAAGAAACCATTACCCAAGCAGCCTACGCCCTCGATTGTCTACAAAATACAATAGCAACCATTTTTGGACGTATCGATCAACGTTTGGAAACAAATAATATCAAAGTAAAGGAACTGCAGGAGCGTATAAAAAAATCTCAGGATAAAATTAACAGTTTACAGGGCACACGCAAGGCTATACATATCTATGCACCGGCCAGATTTCCGGCCACAAACGTCTACAAAGATCTGCCAGTAACTTTTAAACAAGAGGAGAAAATATGTACCAATTCTGCGCCAAAATATCAAATTGAAAGTAAATTGGATACAAATTTACCCAGTCTTAATGAGAAACTTATATTCTTTCATGTACGGGAACAAAATAGTGTAAAGCCAGCCACGGATAATAATTTAGCACGGGAGCGTATTGAAATCAAACAAAATCAAGATTTGGGTAATATGCCATTGGATTTAAGGTCTATTCCCTCGGTTTTACTTTTCAATACTGACTACAGTGTTTACGATTTGGAGGAGGGTGATAGTGAGCCGGATGCTTGGAAACGTGCTAAACACTTTAAAAACAAACGTCTACACTCGGGCAGTAACCAGCCCATGGCAAGTAAACAAATCTTAGAACCGGCTCCTCATTCTTTAGTTAATCGTAGAAATGAAAAGTTAACTCCCTCGGGAGGTTTGAAATATACACCAAAACTAAGTGAGGCTCCAGAATTGGATTTGCCCTTGGATTTACCCGACTTACCAGGTATAGCTGATGATTTGCGCTATGAAAGCCAAGAAGCCAAGCAAAAAATTGCTCCCTCTTTGGCATTGGTGGTGGAAAATTTACCCGAACTTACAGAACTAATGAATGATAATGATAAAAAGGCGAACATTCCATTAGAGCAAAACAATAATATTGCTAACACTACGCCACCTCCACCACCGCCACCTTTGCCTGCTAAACAATTTACAGCTCCAGCACCACCGCCACCTCCTCCGCCACCAGTATTACCAACAACTACTAAAACCACAAATAATAAACCAAAAACTACCAGTACTTCTGATACACGCTCTGAATTAATGGCTGCCATACGCAATGCTGGTGGTGTTGGCAAAGCCGCTCTACGTCATACAGCTGCTGCTGCTCCTTTAGCGACCAACGATAATGATGTTGTTGATAACACACGTGCCCCTAAAACGGCTAATTCCTCTCGCAACCCTCAAACGGGCGGAGGTGATCTTATGGCCGATTTGCACAATAAATTATTAATGCGTCGTAAAGGTATTTCCGGCTCTAAAGATAATACTGACAGCTCTACTACTAAGAATGCTAATAATACCATACCTGCAAATACACCTAGCGGTAATCCGGTTATATCACGTCTTTCAGCTTTGATACCACCACCTCCTGCCAAAGCAAACAGAGAACTAGTAATGCTGCCACTACCTCAGATGAGGATGATTCAAATGATACCGATTGGGTTGATTAAAATAATCTGTTTATGCTCCAGTCCAGAGAATAGTTTTAGTTGCATTCTATTATGGAAATGTGCCTTGTTAATGACCCATTTGAATGGAAATAAACCGAAATTGTTATAGTTATATAGAGTAAATAAATTGATTTTTTAAAAAAACAAACATATAATTCGGGCATTTTTTTTATTACCGGCTAGCTATGGATTCATCTATAGACTAGCTATAGACTCATATATAGTATGGACTACAAACTCATCTATAGTATGGACTCGTCCATAGCATACACTATAGACTCGTCTATAGTCTGAATTACAGACTGGTCTACAGTCTCATCTATGGTAGGCACGACAGACTGGTCTAAAGTCTGGACTACAGATTAATCTATAGTATAAACTACAGATTTGTTCATTGTATGGACTACAAATTAGTTTATAGTCCAGACTCTAGACTATAGATTAGTCTAATACCTAGACTATAGACTTGTCTACTGACTATACTACAGACTAATGAGTAGTATATAGTCAAAACTTTATATTACTCTAGGTATAATCTAAGCTACAGATAACTCCAGACTACAGAATAATCCATAGTATAGACCTCAGATTACAGAATAGTAAGTAGACTACAGATTAGTCTATAACCGAGATAGATAGATTAGTTTTTATCGGACTTTAGCAATTAATATAAAAAATACAAATTTATTATATAAACATTTATTTAAACATATTATTTTGTATTAATTTTCGTTAACAAAACACCTTAAACATAATAAAGATGTTTAAAATATGAATTTTATGTTGTGTGGTTTGTTTATCATTATTATTTAAAAAAAATGAGCATGGTCAAGTTGTTGTTGTTATGTTTAAACATTATAGTTATATAATAATATTAATGCATCAATAAAAAAATATTTTTTATGAATTTTCCTTTAAAAAAAAGTAGAAAATTTTTCTGCAAAATCTTAAATAAAAAAATTATTCAATTCTAAAAAAAAAGAAAAAAAAATTATTACACATAATTAAACTTAACATAAAGACATCATTGTGTGTTTTTAGAAAAAAAAAATAAGAAAAAACTTAAAACTAATATTTTGTTGCTGAAATAGCGTCAGTATGTATGAAAAAAGGATATAAATCAAAAAAATGTATAAAAGTCTTCTTACTGAAGGCATTCTTAAATAGACAATTATTACAAAAAAAAAAAAAAACTCAGAAGAAACATCAACAGTTTGCTTCTTTTTTCTAAATTTGTGAACGCAAACGAGGTCTGGGTAAATCACCAAACACCGCCTCACCATGAACACTTTTAGCTAAAGCTTTAATGCTGGCCGCTATATCAACATTATTGTCAAGTTCCTAAAATAAAATTTAAAATTCATTAAAACTTATTGATGATATTAGGGTCTATGTATAGAAACTTACTTCTTCATCCGATTCTAAAGTTGCCATATAACTACGTCCCACAGTTATGGGAGAGTTAGCTATTTCTATAGGTAAACTTTTAGCAAAATTTGCTGCTTGTTGTGCGCTTTTCGAATTTATGCGTCTATGGGGTGTTGCAGTCATGGCTATTGGCATTGAGGAATCCAAATCCAGAGCATCTGTAAATAAATATTAGAGGGAATTATTACAATTTAAGAAGTTGAAGAGTGGTAAAAATTATCTAAGGTAAAGTCACAGATAAAGATCGCTTCTAGATCGGGTCTGGACAACAGTCTGAACTATAGTCTCGTCTTCAATCTGGAGTATAGTCTAGTCTATAGTCTGGACTATAGTCTAGACTATAGTCTAGTCTATAGTCTGGACTATAGTCTAGTCTATAGTCTGAAACTATAGTCTAGTCTATAGTCTGGACTATAGTCTAGGCTATAGTCTGGACTATAGTCTAGTCTATAGTCTGGACTATAGTCTAGTCTATAGTCTGGACTATAGTCTAGTCTATAGTCTGGACTATAGTCTAGTCTATAGTCTGGACTATAGTCTGGACTATAGTCTAGTCTATAGTCTGGACTATAGTCTGGACTATAGTCTAGTCTATATTCTGGACTATAGTCTAGTCTATAGTCTGGACTATAGTCTAGTCTATAGTCTGGACTATAGTCTAGTCTATATTCTGGACTATAGTCTAGTCTATAGTCTGGACTATAGTCTAGTCTATAGTCTGGACTATAGTCTAGTCTATAGTCTGGACTATAGTCTAGTCTATAGTCTGGACTATAGTCTAGTCTATAGTCTGGACTATAGTCTAGTCTATAGTCTGGACTATAGTCTAGTCTATAGTCTGGACTATAGTCTAGTCTATAGTCTGGACTATAGTCTAGTCTATAGTCTGGACTATAGTCTGGACTATAGTCTAGTCTATAGTCTGGACTATAGGTCTAGTCTAGTCTATAGTCTGGACTATAGTCTAGTCTATAGTCTGGACTATAGTCTAGTCTATAGTCTGGACTATAGTCTAGTCTATAGTCTGGACTATAGTCTAGTCTATAGTCTGGACTATAGTCTAGTCTATAGTCTGGACTATAGTCTAGTCTATAGTCTGGACTATAGTCTAGTCTATAGTCTGGACTATAGTCTAGTCTATAGTCTGGACTATAGTCTAGTCTATAGTCTGACTATAGTCTAGTCTATCGTCTAGTCTATAGTCTAGTCTATAGTCTCGATTATAGTCTAGTCTACAGTCTCGACTATAGTCTAGTCTATAGTCTCGACTATGGTCTAGTCTACAGTCTGGACTATAGTCTAGTCTGTAGTTTGGACTATAGTCTGGACTATAGTTTAGTCTATAGTCTGGACTATAGTTTAGTCTATGGTCTGGACTTTAGTCTAGTCTGTAGTTTGGACTATAGTCTGGACTATAGCCTAGTCCATAGTCTGGACTATAGTCTAGTCTGTAGTTTGGACTATAGTCTGGACTGTAGCCTAGTCCATAGTCTGGACTATAGTCTAGTCTATAGTCTGAACTATAGTCCAGTCTATAGTCTGGACTACAATTTAGTCTATAATCTGAACTATAATTCAGTCTATAGTCTGGACTATAGTCTAGTGTATAGTCTGGACTACAGTCTAGAAATATAGTCTATAGTATCGCCCTTAGTCCGGACTATAGTCTCGTCAATATACTGGAATATTATTTTGTCTATGGTTAATGTACAAAATATATTATCAATAAACCTACCTTCAGCTTCTTCAGCATCATCACTCTCATCTAAATCGCTCATATGATTTTCCGGCTGTGCATTAATATAACTTAAACTACGCTGATAGCTATTAAACGGTGGCAGTATTTGATGTGGCACATTTTGTGGCTGTTGCTGCTGTTGCTGTTGCGACTGTAATAGACGCAATGGTGATGGTGGATTTTGTAAATACATAGCACGATTATGTTGTGGTGTTGTAACTACATTGCCACCATCGACACCTTCCAATTCGAAGAGACAATCATCGGCTGTATCAATAGAATTTGTTGAAAATTGTTGTTGCAATGTTTGTGGTTGGCTAGCAAACATAGTATTTTGTTGTTGCTGTTGGCGAAATGTGGGACTATTGCCCACACTCATGGGTATAGCTTCTGGTGTAGCTGGTGGTGTATCGAAATTCGACATTTACGATTTAAAGCTGAACTGCCAACAATGGTTGGTGTAGTAGATGTAGCTACGTAGCTGTTGATGCCACGCCTGTGGGCGAGTGAGTATTATTGCCCGCTGTATTGGCTGTTGCAGTCATTATGGCACTTGTAGGTGTTGTGGGAGTGGCAGTCATAGAATTTCTCACATAATTCTCTCTATTCATATTAAATATAGAGTTCGGTGGTTGTATTGCCGTTGGTGTAGTAGGAGCCGTATTACTAAGTTCACGACGACTGGAAATGGTGTTACGTCTGCGTGTACCAGCAGCATAAGCTAAATTGCCACCATTATTGCTAACATCCAGTGCGGGTGGCTGACGTTCTAGCCATTCGTTAGCCTGTTGCTCAGGTATACAATGTATAAGTGATACTAACATCTGGTAT